TTCCAGTTGCTCCCTCACATAAAAGGCAACTCCACCACCTCACCTTCCTGGCCTGTCTTTCCTAAAAAGCACGTAGCCATCCATGACAGCATCCCAGTCATGTGAACTATCCCACCATGTCTCCGTAACTGCAACGAGACCATGGCCCTGCGACCGCACACAGATCTCTAACTCTTCCTGCTTATTCCCCATGCTGCACGCATTGGTGTACAGGCATTTCAGAGAGCCAGTTGCGTATGCAGGTTTCTCAGGAGGGGCGCAAAAGGACCTTCCATAGCCATGTTCCATGCTGTCTCTCCTGGCTGCATGCACTTGCTGAAAGGGGCATAAAATCCCAGGAATATCCAACATCCTGTCTACAGCTCGTAATTTAAGCCTAAATTGAAACCTTGGACATATCTGCACCTAAAGCATAGATATTCCAGAAGTATATTGCTTTTTCAGAACATGTCTAATTTACAGTAGGACTTGCCAAACTAAGTGTTACACTTCTTAAGAATATTAGTTGTCTAGTCTAAATAAAATTCTGGTAAAAAGAGAGCTTGAAATCTTTTTTCTTTTCTTTTTTTTCCTCCTCCTCTATTACTATGCTAAAGACATGAAATAAGAATTAAGGGAAAAGGTATTTTTTTAAATTCTTCCCTCTCCCCTTTTGGAAGTGTCTGGCAAAAATGTGTAAAACGAGTATTACTTTTAGATTTGTGAATACACAGAATGACTTGTGTCATGCTTTATTGTCTTATTTATAGCTAGTAGAACTGTCTAATTTCTTCATAAGGCAAAGAAGAAATATCAAACATGCAACTGTAAGATACTCTCAGCTTTTTTTTTTTTTTTTTGGTAATCCTTCTACTTTGTTTAAAGCACCTGGGAAACCTGCTATAGGAAAGATTTTGTTTTTTTTTTTAATCTACACTTTCTGCAGTCTGTGTTTTGCAGCTCTCAGTGTTTTTCCAAGCCTATGCAAAGCTTGTAGTTGCCACAGTATAGAGCAGAACTTGATGGATGTGCTGCATAGAGTTGAGGAGGAGGAATATGGTTCTCTTGACTCTACCGTCTCAATAATCATACTTTATGTTATCAATAATGTCGTATGGTGAGAGGAAAGACTCTCACTTAAGGAGGGAAAAACATTAAAAGACCAGGCTTAGGCCAAGCAAATAAATTGTATTTGACTTACAGCTAGCTTAAAAAGTTATGTAAACACAGGTGTAGTAGGTATACTGTTAAACCTTAGCATCAACATCTTAGAGGATAAACAGCTGCTCTCTTGGCAAATACAAGAACTACAACTTTTGTTTTTGTATAATACGACTCTTCCAATGAGCGAGTGCAAAGAAATTTCTTCATGCTTTCGTAATAAAATACATATTTCCCAGGAGTACAACGACAGATAACTGCAAGAGCTTGGAATCTTTTTTTTTTTTCTTTTTTTTTCCCTCTATTACCATGCTGAAGATATGAAATAAGAATTAGGGGAAAAGGTCAAATATTATAAATTTATTTTGGGACATATATATTGCAACCTCTGTGGAAGCTTTTGAAAATTCAGGCAAAGATCAATACACTTTCAATAAAACCTTTAAACTTCCAATAAAACAATATTTTGAACATTATATATATATATATTTATATATACTTTTAATTAAAGGGAGCATTTTAGCAGGATTTGCTTGTTTATACTGCATTCCTCTGACATAGCTCTTTCCAGATTGAAGGGATGCAAATGAGGTAAGAATTAAGGCAAACCTAAAAGGCATGCAAATGAAGTACATTTATATCCACTGACAATACAAGCACATGTGTGGATCAGACTTAAGAACTGAGGACATCTTCCCCTCTGTCTGTCCAGTACTACTTTACAGCAGAATGGTGACATGATTTATAATAAACAGTTAACATTACCTTGGGAATTCAGTGTCACTAACATTACTCAGTCTAGGAGACACAGAGCTAGCATCAGTAAAACATGAACAATAAATAATATAATTCACTGCAGCACAGGACTGCTGCACAGGCTTCAGAGGAATGGGGTTGTTATGAAATGACATTGCACACGTCACGTTGTGGCAGTTTATTTTTATAATATATACTTTTAAAATTCTTTAGCAAATGACATTCTCATGCACACAAGTGTTTCAAACACAAGAAGCAAGTCCATTTATAGGTAGTCCAAGCAAATTTTTGTGTGTGTGTGTGGAAATAGCTGCAAACTGAATGGAACATTTAAACTTCTGTGCAGTCTGTGATGCATTGCACACAAGCTCATTTTTGAATGTCACACTGCAGGAGTAATACAATGGAAGGATCGCTCTTTGCAGCTTCTTTGAATTCGTCCAGTGTGATCTGGTCGTCTTTGTTCTTATCCATCTTGCTGAAAATCTTGTCTACCCGTTGCTCAGGCGTCAGACCATCCTCGTTCATCTTCATCATTATCACAGTGCCCACCATTTTGTAGATGGCCTTTGGAAAGAAATCAAATAGAAAATTCAAAAAATTAAGTCTTAGATGTAATAAATGTGTTGATGTGATCAAATTCTGGGATTAAATTTGAACAATAAATTGATTGTCAGTTCCCCTATGGATTTGTTTTCCTTTGAATCTGATACCCGTTGACTTAAAACAAGGAAGAATAAGTGTTTCACTTTTTTTTTTTTTTTTTCAAATAGATTTTTTTTTTTTTTACTGGTGGTTCCACATTGCAGACTGGAATGAATTTCTTTGTTCTTGTGTTTCATAGTACAAAACTGTTGTAACTTGTTCTCTGGATCAACTGTTTATTTGGTTTTTAGTCACCTTATTGAACTATTTTACATAAATTCTGAATAATCAGTTTTAAAAAGTGTCTCCTTTCAGCAGCGTTCTGTGTGCACATGTGAGCAAAATTTGCCACTAACCACTGTGGCTAGTATCCAACAGATGACAAAGGAGGTAAACTTTACGCTGTCAGTTATATAGTATGGCTCTCTTAAATCTTGGCGCCCAATCTGCAAGAGCTCACTCAAACTGCAGCGGGTTGTTTGTCCTTGTAAGTTTCTGCAGTCATTTGAAGGTAATCTCCAAAAAGGCTGAGCTACAAAACAATAATTTCATGGGTGTCAAGTGATTTTCAGATGGACTTTGTAAATCCTTTGCTGTACTGTTCTTACAGTTAATCTGTTCCTCGGAAAACAAGTTTACCTCTGGATATGTAAAGGCTTATATGCACACGTGATCTCTGCGATTCTCAGATTACATATCTATTAAAATGTTAGTTCGTGTGTATCGCTTAGACATGAGTTACTGAGATGACGCTATGTGTCATACCTTTATAGTGATACAATGCACACAGCTTCTTGTGTGTTTCAAGTCTTTACGTGAACAAGTGATCAATTTTTTTCTAATGAACGACAATGTTAATGCATGTTGGTTGAGTGTCATGGTGACCTCACCTCTATAATTTCCAGCATTTCCACTCTCGTAATTTTACCATCACCATCCAAGTCGTACATGTTGAAGGCCCAGTTTAGTTTTTGCTCAAAACTGCCTCTTGAGGTGATGGACAGTGCACAAATGAACTCTCTGAAGTCGATGGTGCCATCTCCGTTCTTGTCGAAGGTTCGGAAGGCGTGCTGGGCAAACTTTGAAGCATCTCCGTATGGAAAGAACTGTAAAACAAAACAATAAATGGAACCGTGGGCAGTGCAAGGAAGCAAGCTGTGTATCTGCCCTCAAAAATACTGAAGTGAGGCATTTATGAAGAGCTGCTGGTAGTCTTTGTGTAAACTGAAAATAAGCAATTTGATCTTTAGCAACAAAGTGCAGTAACTGTATTAAACATATTATTGCTATAGAAAACTCTCAGTTTACAGCAAGCGATATTACGGATATATTTCATGCTAAAAGTACGTTCTCTCCAAAATTAATTGAACTAGATGAACCTTAAAATGAAGGTGGGTACAAATGAGAGATTGTACCTAATAACTGTGGTATGTAACAACAATGGTATAAAACACAGGGGTTGAATTTCATATTTTCACAGCAACTTTCAGGGGGAAGTTGTGTTTTTTGAGAAAGTTTCTATGTTTCAGTGTTGAAAATTCAATTCGGTGATATAAATTCAACCCTTTCATTAGATTACGACATCTTTAAAGAGGAGCAAAGTTCCCCCCCACCGCCCCAGCTCAAGCATCATCTTTGGCATTCTTTTGCAGTCCGTTTCGTGGACTAAAATCCTTGAAAGAAGCAATTCCTGACACATAACAAACAGGGCTGACTGAATTCTGCTCAGTGCTATAGACAGTGCTCAAAATGCTGCTTGGGACAGTGCAGTGTTAGGGATATAGTGCTCTGGGAGCCAGAGCCAAACTTAGGATCATTTTTGTCTGTTCTACCCTGCGTTTCGAACCACTTCGAAGTAGGTGCCTGACATGAGAAACTCATTTTGAGGAGCAGTTAAATTTCTAACTACTTTTATGTATTGCCTTCTATCCTCTGACTATGAAACACAGCAACCAAGGTAAATTTTAACGGCATTTTTTCTGCCTGGGACTAACCAGCCCTTGGCTTGCTGCAGCCAAGTGGATGTGTGGGCTTTGTGTTATATAACTATTAAAAAAAAAATCCACGCATACCATGAAAAATCAGGAACATATGTTCTCTCCTGCCAATGTACATAACACAAGTATATAAGATGAAAACTGAGATTCAGCTAAACACTACAGGGCTGTTCTTGCTTAATATTCATTATCAGAGAACACCACAATTGATTGTAGCATAATAAAATGTTTTAAAGGACGATAACAAGTAGGTCTTCTTTTTTTTTTTCCTCTCTCCTCCAGAAATTTATGATTTAAGGCATCTTTGAGATAGGAGTGGCTTTTCTGTGACCTAGATTCAAGAAAACATACCTCTTAAAAACGGGAGTTTTAAGTTAATGCTGAAGTTCCATTACAGTCAAAGACATTTAAATGCAATTCATAATTACATTTCTATATTTCCAGCACAATTTAACGGAGATTTTGATGCTCTCAAAATATAAATGTGCACTACTGCCAATCTGAGAGACATGTCTCTTTTTTTTCCTCCCTAAATGGTGTTAAGTATTGCATTTAATAACCTAAGTTTGAAGCAAAGATTTAAGTAGCAGCCTAAGAAGTGGGTCTACGTTTTACAGTTTCCCGTTTCCCAGTCCAGAGGTTTAACTACAAGCCCTTTCTTGCTGTGGTCAGCTATGAAAGCAGCTGAACAACATACTGAAAGATTTCATAAAGGATATGACAGCACATACAGAAATGGGCTGTGCTAATAGTCTGATTAAGTACAGATGTAAAACATGGCGAGCCAGGGAGGGCATTGAGATCTGCCTTCTCTGCTTTTCCTTTGAGGAGGCTAAATGACCACTTGGATACTGTGCTGCCTAAAAAAGCGCACAGTAACTTGCAACAAACTCATGGCCAATAAAGTCATTGCCACAAAGGTCACGTCAGGAGCCACTGTTGCACTGACATAGGGTTCCCAATCTGACAGTTTCCTCTAAACTTTTGCCTTGCTCTAATAGTGACTTTTCAGACACAATTCCGGGTAACCTTTACGTTGCCGTACAGGTATAACTGCTATATCATATTTTCCCTGGCTCAGTGGTATTACAGTTGCTACAAAATCCTCCTCTTCTCCCTCAAAGGAGAGCGACCAAGATAAAATTTTGTCTACCTCCATCAATTCAGAGTAGTGCCTGGTGTGTACTAACCCCCTAGAGGAGTACAAATCCCTGTATTACCACAGGCCTGTAGAATCTAAAACCAGAAGGGGATCAGATAAGCTGCTCTCACTTGCCAAGTATCTTTTCAGGAAGAGATGGATCATGATCGAGAGAGAGAGAGATATACCCCTTTCAGGGGTATTCTGTTCAGGTTAATACCTCTGTTAAAGTTGCTATTTGCCTTCTCATTTGACTTTTTATGGGTGAGCACCCAGCATCTAGTTCTATGCTCTTTCTGCAATAGCTGAAGAGTCCTTTAGTATTGCCTCCTTCAGAAATTGTATTTTATGTGACTGTACTCAAGCCAACTTACATTTCTTTTTTGATAATCTGAACTGATGGAGCTGTAAGTACCTCCAGATATTGATGTGGCTCTTATCTGCACTTTCTACTTTTTGACCTTTTAAAATTTTTAGACTCTGGAACAGTAAGTATGATTGGGCTCCCTGACACATGCAAAGATACATGGATTCTCTGATACATTTCACAACTGAATAAACTGCAGCTACCAGATCTCGCTGAGTTGCTTTTCTAGTGAAAATCTTAAATCTTTTGTAAAACCAAACTGTCCCATAGAAAGAAAGGCTCTTTGGTCTTAGAATTCTACCTTTGGCTGTATTAGAACAAAGGTATTTGAACGTTATCCAAAATTTAAAAGTTATTTGAAGGTTATCAAAAATCCTGCTCACTGCTTTCTCTTATCATTTACCTTACCCCTCCAACTTTTGCATCAACTACAGATGTTAGCACAGATGCTATTTAATTTTGTGTGTGTGCACGCGTGTGTGTGTGTGTGTGTGTGTGTGTGCGCACGCGCGTGCATGTAGATACATACACACTTCTCCAGATCACTAATGGAAAGTTAAGAAGCATCTCTTGTACTTTGTAACTCTTCAGGGATTCTACTAGCTCCCCCCCTTTTTTTTTCCTCCAGAAGTTAATGATGATTCAAAGCCAAAAAGACAATTAGGATAGTCATTTGCATTTTAAATCTGAACTGATGACTGCCCTGTGGTGTATAGGTTATGAAACAACATATTTCAGAATTGCATGGTCTTCCAAATTGGTCAAAATGGTCTTCCAAATGGTTTGGTTAAGAGCCCTCAGTACTGCTGAGGATGCTGCCCGATGTTGCAGATCACTGTCACTTGGCAGCCTCTACCACAGAAAGGCAAGCAGCTAGAGGGAAATGGGATCTTCCTTTTTGCTGTTCAGAGAACCAAAACTCACTCAGATGTTATTCTCCTGTGGTCCAGACTGTGAAGTGGTATAAACGTAGTAGGGGAACCAAAGAACGAAAATGCAAGGAAGACGCTCACCTACAAAAAATAGCAGGGAAGTGGCAGCCATTCAGAAGTACTCAAGAGCCCAAGAATCAGGAGAGGGTGTAGGAGGGGTCAGAGTCTGGAGGTAGCAAAGACCATTTCCAAATTATTCTTGGGTAAGCATGAATATATAATTACTTCTCTCATAACAAGCTGTCTCTCTGTCCTGTACCAATCTTACAGCATTTACCTCGTATAATAGGGGGAAAAAAAGCATTCCCCTAATTTTTTTTTAAGACAGACAAGCCAATGAGATTTCGCCCTTTTGAGCTGAGAAAGGCAGTATTATAGTTCAGAGCCGAGCCTTGGCACTAGCAGCCTCATTAGGTGAATGCATAGAACTGATGTCTTTTTTACTTTTTCCACTTGCCTCTAGGGAGCAAATACACTAAAAGGTCCTTCAGGAATTGAAGGTGCTCTTCTCTAGATGAGATTCTTCTCTGCTTTGTGCCTCCTGATTCCTATTATTTTTATCTCAGAACAACTAAAAAAAACATTGTCAAAACTTGTTTAAAAATCTACTTGAAGGCTTCCATTGTCTGGTTTTGAAATGATTCATAAATAAGAAATGGAGTAAAAATAAAACCAATTACAGAACAGAACAGTCCAGCTCTGGTAAAACATTATTTTACCATTAAAATATAGCGAAGCCTTAGGAATGCATACAGGCCTGTTTTCCATAAAGGCACAGACTTTTTCCTGCTTCAAAACTAATCTGAGCCAAGTGAAAATGGAAGACAGTGATCACTGGAAGACAAACACCCATTTTCGGCAGATGGAATTTGAGGGTGGTTTAGGCCACCTCATCTGGCACGCTGGCATGGGCTGAGTGAGTGATTCAAAAACAACCAGAGAAATGACTACTGGGATTTTAATAGGCCTGTTGAAGCTGGACAACTCAGCGTGTTCTTCAGCCCCCTCTGGAAACCCCAACACAGGTGATCAGCTTATATATTAAAGCAACCAATTCCCTTCTGCTGCCATGGTACTACTGAAAAACGCACACGTGCTGTGCGTATTAGCACTGCATCCTACCTTTCCCTTTTTGTCAAAACAAACAAGGCAAACTATACCCATCTGGGCTTTTTTATAAAAACCAATTCCATGGGTGACCAAATACTGGTCATTTCTTTAATTCTGCCTGTCTATTCTAATCTCTTTCCTAAGCTGTGCTTTTCCTGACTGGTTAGATTAAAAAGTCACTTATCAGCCAAATTACTGGTGTAGGAAGATGGTGTTATGTCTACAAGTAATTGGCAACTAGGGAAGGAAAAAGGAGGGGGAAAAACCAAAAAAAAAAAAAAAAAGGCTTCCTTATTTTGTTACCGAATTCTGGAAACAAAAATGGCTTGAAGGTTCTCAGCCCCCAGAATGTGTCTTGCACATCTTTCTGATTATCTTGGGCTTTTTCAAAAGGTAATGGAATAAGAAGATTTAGTGAATAGCTTTAACAAGCTGTACCTAACTTAAGTCTTAGGGAAACTGATCAAACATCTGGGGCACTTGGCTGAAAAGCTGTGAGGCCTCTTTTACCTTTGAAGAGATGCTGGTCACAGACAACTTCGTATTACTATGCAGATCA